AGGGAAGAATGGGTCACGTCTGTAGCCCTGAAGGATGCGTATTTTCATGTGCCTATTGCGGCAGAACATTGCCGTTTTCTCAGGTTTGCCTATCGGGGTCACCACTGGCAGTTCCAGGTACTCCCATTCGGGCTCTCTCTCCCCAAGGGTGTTCACTCGGTGCGTGAAGGCAGCCCTCTCTCCTCTGCAGGCCTGCGGAGTGAAGATTCTGCCGTACTTAGACGATTGGCTTCTCTGCGCTCCGTCTCAGGCCTGTGCCTTTCATGACACAAACCGCCTGCTCGCTCGTATGTCCCAGTTGGGCCTCAATGTCAACCTGGAGAAGAGCTGCCTGATCCCTTCCCAGACGACCACCTTTCTTGGGGTGGTTCTGGATTCATCTTCCATGAGAGCTCGCCCATCCGCTCAAAGGGTTGCCGGCATACTCCAGCTGGTCAATCGGTTAAGGCTGGGCAGGCAGCTCCCCTATGTTGCCTTCCTGCAACTACTCGGCAAGCTGACATCAGTCACTCGGGTGGTGCCCTTAGGCTTGCTGTCACTTCACCCCTTGCAGATGTGGCTCAACAGCTTTCGCCTGGATGCCAGGCTGCACAGGCATCGCAAGCTCGCAGTAACGTGGTCATATCTTCATGCCTTGACTCCATGGAGGGACAAAGATTTGTCCAGGGGTGTCCACATGGGAGTGGTAGTGTGTCGCAGGGAAGTGGTCACGACAGATGCCAGCTCCATGGGATGGGGGGCTGTGTGGCAACGCAGAGCGGTTCAGGGCCGTTGGGGTCAAAGGGACCACTCCAAGCATATAAATGTGCTGGAGCTGCGTGCAGTGCACTTGGCACTCAGGCACTTCCTGCCTCACCTGGAAAGGAGGCATGTTCTTGTTCGGTCAGACAACAACTCTGTTGTCTACCACATCAACCATCAGGGGGGCACCAGGTCAGCACAACTTCTGAGAGTGTCCAGAGAGCTCCTGGAATGGGCCTCTCCTCGCCTGTCCACCCTGCAGGCAGCGTACTTACCAAGGCGACACAATCGGGTCGCAGATTTTCTCACCTGCCAAGAGTCCCCTCCGGGAGAGTGGTCCCTCTACAGCGACATAGTGCTGATGATCTGGGACCGTTTTGGTCAGGCAGAGATAGACCTGTTTGCGACGGAAGAGTCGACTCAGTGTCCCATATGGTACTCTCTTATGGGGGCGTCGGGTGCGCTGGGCCAGGACGCATTGGCTCATCCTTGGCCAAGGGTCCTTCTATATGTCTTTCCACCCCTTTCTCTAATTTGGCCAACCCTTCAGAGAGTCCTCGAGGAGGGCCACAGGATGCTGCTGGTGGCTCCATATTGGCCAGCGCGACCATGATTCCCACTGCTACGAGTATATGTCAGGGCGTCCCATGGTGTCTTCTGACCAGAAGGGACTTGCTGTCTCAGTTGGGGGGACTGATATGGCACCCCAATCCTCAACGTCTTCGGCTGTGGGTCTGGCCACTGCAAGGCTAGGACAGCAGCTGACTGGAGTTTTGAGCCCCGTCAGACGCACCATCCTGGGCGCCAGGGCACCCTCTACTCGTCAGCAGTACGAAAACAGGTGGCGCCTGTTTTCCCAATGGTGTTCTGATCACAACAAGGATCCAGTCTCCTGTACAGTACCCACCATTCTGGAGTTTCTCCAGTCTCTACTTGGTAAGGGTCGCTGTCCTTCGACGCTTAAAGTTTATGTAGCGGCAATATCATCTAATCACGCTGGCATTGATGGCTGTATGGTAGGGAGCCATAATCTAGTCTTTCTTTTTCTGCGTGGTGCCCGTAGGTCACACCCGCCGACAGCTCCAAGAGCACCAGGTTGGGACCTTCCCTTGGTTCTCGAAGCTCTGTGCCGTCCTCCTTTCGAGCCTCTGACACAGGCGGACCTCAAGTGGCTTTCATGCAAGATGGCTTTTTTGTTGGCTATTGCCTCAGCAAAGAGGGTCAGCGAGCTACATGCTCTCTCAGTCAGCCCCTCATGTCTCAGGTGGGGCCCTGAGGGCTCGTGTGTTATCTTGTGGCCAAACATTGCATTTGTACCAAAGGTGTTACCTCACTCTCACTGTAACCAACCGTTGAGGCTGGCATGTTTTCAGCCTGCGCCTGGTGAGGGGTCTGGATTATTGTGCCGGTGAGAGCACTGGAGGCATACGTTGCAGCTACTGCCGTAATAAAACATTCAGACCAGCTGTTTGTGTGTTATGGAGGCCCTAGGTTAGGCTGTCCTCTTTCCAAACATCGCCTCTCCCACTGGATCGTGGACGTCATCTGCCATGCCTATGCTGCAGGGCCCGGCCCCCTGCCAGTCGGCTTGAAGGCTCACTCTACCAGGAGCGTCTCCGCTTCCTGGGCTGCCCTGAGAGGGGTTCCGCTGGAAGCAATATGTGCTGCTGCATCATGGGCTTCCCCAAGCACGTTCACCAGATTTTATAGAGTTAACGTGGCCACCCCTCATCCCCTGGGCCAGGTTCTTCTACAAGGGTCCTCTGGGCCTCCTCAGTGAGGTGGGTGTTTAGGATTCCTTGTGACATCGTTGGTATTAGTCATTCAGTGCTTTCAGCACCGCCCTCTGGCGGTCAGGAGGGATGAAATAGAACGAAAGTTACATATGTAACTACGGTTCTATGAATCCCGGATGACCGCCAGAGCTTCTGTCACTCAGAATCCTTGCGTTCCGCGAGAAGATTCTGTAGGAGCAGAGCAGCGGATGACGTCGGGCTATATAGCCTCTGATTGGTCATCCGTGTCACACCTGTGACTCCGTTGGTATTATTACTCGAACAGTGCATGCGCGAAGGGAACATTCTGTGCTTTCAGCACCGCCCTCTGGCGGTCATCCGGGATTCATAGAACCGTAGTTACATACGTAACTTTCGTTTTCATTAGTTGTCAGTTATAATCATCAACATTAAAATAAATAAACATTTGAATTATATCAGTCTGTGTGTAATGAATGAATATAATAAACAAGTTTCACTTTTTGAATGGAATTACTGAAATAAATTAACTTTATCATGATATTCTAATTTTATGACCAGCACCTGTACATAAGATAAAACTGCTGCCAAAGTTTATCCTTTATTTTTTTCTCAGCAGCAGGACAGAGTCCACATATCTTTCCTTTTATTGTTCCTCTCTGTTTAAAGCAAAAAATATATTTAAAAAAATGCTATGCTAAATGAAATGTGCAAACTTCAACACTATATTACTTCCACGTTGATTCCAACACAACCCAAAAGTGCTGTCTGTAGGACAGCAGGGTGGGGTGCCATTGCTTCAATGCATGCATTAATAACGCCAAACTGCAATATTTAGCACACTAACAATTTAGAAAAATATTACTTAGTTAAAATTTAATTAAATATAAATTAAACCAGTTACACAAATGTTGTGAGTAAATGTAAAAAAGAGCACATCTTAGGAAAACAAAAGAAAAAGAATGAGTTGAAAAAGAAATCCACTAGAAGGATGAAGAATTACGATGGTTGCTAGGCAACTGAGAAAGGGAAAAAAAGTTTTGAAACTGAGTGAGCTTTACAGATGGCATAAATCTGTGAAAATATTACAGCCGGTTCAATGCGCTCGATCCAGAGGATGAATATTAAACTGAAAGAGAGCGGAGCACATGAATACAAAACAAGACACTTGAGGATATTTAGTAGAAGTAGATATTTAGTTGTAGAAGACGAGAAGCATAGAATAGTTTACCATTTTAGCCAAATGCACAGATGTTTAACAAGCTTCAAGTTTATCTGATGGTTCATCCATAGATTGCTCACCGCTGTGTTGTGATCAAAGTTTAAGTTGGTGAAAGCTACCGCACAAAGCCAGAATCTATCAGTCTGTTAATGTAGCTGCTTGTGCTGAGGCACATCAGATGGAGCGGCTTCAGATGTTATCAGTCATTAAATGGCCGTTATTAGTTGTTATCATCCCCATATGTAGCGGTGAGACTGTCCCACCTACCTCCTAGTAGGTTTAAAGGTACGTTATTATCGCTGATAATAGGCAGCGTCATACAGGGGTAAACCAGGAAGTGTCTTTTTTTTTTTCAGCTTATGTAACTCTTTTTCTAAACCTAACCTTACACCTGACCCAGAGGACCAACCCTAAACTTAACCCCCTTACCCTTGTGCCTAAACCTAACCAAGACCCTAAACCTAACCGCCAGACCTTTTACTCTAAACCTAACCACGTGAAGCTTTTATGAGCGCTAACAAAGGTAAAACACGGAGCCTATTATCGCTAACAACACTAACAACGCTAACAACGTACCTTTAAACCCACTAGGAGGTACAGGAGGGGCAGTCTGACTGCTACATATGGGGATGATAACAACTAATAATGACCATTTAATGGCTGATAAAATTCGAAGCGGGTGTCAGATTAACAGATTTTGTCACTGACATATTTTAGTGCCAGGTATAAATGGGGCCTGTGAGAAGGTCTGTGCGCAACAGAGTCCAGTTAGTAAACAACCTCACTGGCTTTGGCTTTCTTAAATACACACAATCTTTCACAGAAAGCTATTTTTCAATTACTTTTTACAGGAAAATAAATAAGAGTGCATTTCTTTCAACTTTAGCTGTGCATTTAATCAAAGAGAGTAAATTATCATTTCTAACATGTTAATCCCAGAACTGTTTTTGTCCTGATTTGCAAATACTGTGGGAGATACTGGTGTAGTACACATCAGGAAAAGTTAAGACAACTCATAAATGCAGGCTGTAGAACGGCCACACGAGGCTTGCTCTTACAGCGATCCTGCAATGTTCACATCAGGTTGGTGCAAGTGAACAGAATTTTGGATTTTATAGCTGTAATTTCCATATAACATATTTATAAAAGTCACCTTGTTAATTTGCATCAAGGCTTACATGACAAAGTATTAAAAGGTATGTGTCTACATAGTGAGCAACATGTAGTGGCATGGCGACAACAAATGAAACGGCAGAAAAAAGTATGTTTGAACTCTGACTTACATTGAACAGGTTTGTCTTGTTTCGTTCACAGAAAAGTCCTTGTGCTGGCATGTGCTTCAGCTGTTGCCATGGGACACTGCTTCCTAGCAACACATCTCTAGCCCACTGTAGGTTCTGTGATGGAAAATAAATAAATGAAAAGGGGGGAAAAAAGACATGTATTTGCATGTACATTTTTCATACACACACTCACGAAACGAACACCGATAACTCTCAACGAGAAGAGGAGAATTGCTCATTTGCAATCAAGAAAACGCAGACCTCTTCACAGCACAATGACACAAATCAGTGACATGAGCATTCTGTTTGAAAAGATAGCAAGCCAAGCCCTTCGTATTAACTTTCACAGCACTGCTGGTCTACAGCACCAAATTAGACTTCCTCTCCTTTCTTCAGAATGAGGGTAAAATAGACAGTCAATGCGAGAGGGACAGTTTTCCTAAGAACACAGAGTCTTTTAACACTAGATCTGTCCGAGATGCGAGGGCGGCCGAGCAACCTGTGGCAACAGAAAAGCATCAAATGACTGTCAGGGTACATTTGACTACTGAAAACTAACAATGAAGGGAAAAAACAGCAAGTTTCACTCATTAAGTCTACAAATGTCTTCTCGAGCCTTAACTATAATGTTACAGAGCACAACTTTAACACATAAAGAATATACAAACAAAATGTCAGCCACTACCTCGAAAAGCCATGAAACACCAAAGCTTGAAGAGACTAGAGTCAAATGAGGACATACAAAACAGAAGGGCCTTTCTTTACCCAGATTAGCTCTTAACAAATATGAGCAGGGTCTGTATTAAACTGAACAGAGTGCTGACAGAAGGTTGCCATCACAGTAAAGCTCAACTCTCTCTCTACGTGCCAAACTGGCTGAAAGGGGACTGTGCAACCACCCCCACACACACCTCTGCCCACAGAACCTCATAGCCAACACAGTCTGTGCATCGCTGCAGTTCTCACAGTTTCAAACAAAAAAATAGATGGCCATCAATAAAAGAAAAACTCAATAAAATAAGCGATCAAAAAGATCCGAGTGGCCCTTGAAGAAACTGTAAGAAACTCCTACATTGAGTATGGATTAACGGTGGCAGACTGACCTGATGTGTCTTGCTGTTGGTATAGAAGTAGGCCAGGCGGTAGAGACTCTTGTAATGCTGAGGGAAGCGGCTGAGGCAGAGGAAGAGAGCACGGATGCACATTTCCACTAGCATTCGTCTCTGGTCCGATCGTTCTGCAGGCAGGGCTTTGGGCACTTCGATCACCTCAGCGGGGGGCTCAGGCTTCCTCTTGTTCTCACTGACTGGGGTCTGAGCAGCGGCCTGCTGTGTGGGTGCTGGTTTGGGTGGTGTGAGCGGGGTGGCTGTGATGGCGAGAGGATTCAAGCAGGCATCTGCAGAGACTTTAGGGACAGTTTCAGGGTCTACTACCACCACCATCATGGTTTCAACTTTTTCCAGGATGACTTTCTCTTCTCTCTGAATGCCTGGATTGTCTCTATGTAAGACTAAAGATAAAAAAACAAGATGAGGATTTTAGTTTAAGGGTAAGTGAAGTAAAAATGTATTTTTTTAAAACCCTGCCTACCGGTGTCCTCAGACGTAAGCTTCTCGTCTTTCACAGGGGTTGTGCTTTCTGAGGACGATGGACTGGCTTTGATCGAGGCAGGCTTGTGGCTTGTGTCTTGTGAGCTGGTGGGATCTGTGAAGGCATCCTGGGTGGAGTTGGAGTCAGAAAGCAACACCACCTCGCTATCCTGGCTTCGCTCTGCCAAAACAAGCAAAAGCACAGGTTACTCTGCCAGCTGCATGATCGCACACAGAGATAATCTCATCATCTGTGACATTATGGATGTATAAACATCAATGAGTTGGTTCTTTCTTTCTTGTGTTTTGAAAAAGTTATAGTCCTGTATTTTCAAGTGATTGTTGCTAATCTACAAACTAGGGATGCACTATATTGGATTTTTGGCCAATATCCGATATGTTAAAACTTATTTGTCCAATAACCGATACCAATATTTTTCCCTAGACCTACTTATAGAGACTACATAGCTTTCGCTGCTGTGGAATTAAAATACTACATTATTCTGCATGGTCTTTGGAAATTTGACCTGCTACCAAATGCAGATGCCAAAAAGGGGGCTGAAAATGATGTAACACTTCAACTTGAATTATATTTACTGTCAAATTCATTCATGGCATTTACTCTTTCTAACACAATGACAACACTGGAACTGTGTAAATTTTCCCAAATCCAAACTCAACGGTGTGTATGACGTCATAACGTTAGGCTGGTGCTGCAGGCATCTTTGTCACAGGGTTGTCATACAAAAACAGCGCCATATATACACTGCCTGCCCAAAAAAAGTCACCTGGGCTTAACTAAGCAAATAGGTACGAGCCTCTTATTGGATAATTACTGCATGGATGATTATCTTTCAGCTGGCAACAAGTTATTTAACCCCAACTGGTGCAATGAGTTGCTTCTCATTTCTTAAACAACCATGTTGAAAGACACATTGCGTGGTCATGGAAAAGATGTCAGTCTGTTTGAGAAGGGTCAAATCATTGGCATCAAGCAAAGAAAACATCTAAGGAGATTGCAGAAACTACAAGAATTGGGTTAAGAACTGTCCAATGCATTATTAAAAACTGGAAGGATCGTGGGGACCCATCGTCTTCGAGGAAGAAATGTAGCCGGAAAAAAATGTGGCCTATTGTACAAGCCTGTGGGGGCAGTGCTATGATGTGGGGTTGCTGCAGTTGGTCAGGTCTAGGTTCAGCAACAGTATGTGCTCAAAGAATGAGGTCAGCTGACTACCTGAATATACTGAATGATCAGGTTATTCCATGAATGGATTTTTTCTTCCCTGATGGCACGGGCATATTCCAAGATGACGAAGACAGGATTCATCGGGCTCGAATTGTGAAAGAGTGGTTCAGGGAGCATGAGACATCATTTTCACACATGGATGGACCTCCACAGAGTCCAGACCGTAACCCCATTGAGAATCTTTGGGATGTGTTGAAGAAGGCGTTGCGCAGTGATCAGAATCTGCCATCATCAATGCAAGATCTTGCTGAAAATTTAATGCAACACTGGATGGAAATAGATCTTGTGACATTGCAGAAGCTTATTGAAACAATGCCACAGCAAATGCTGCTGTAATCAAAGCTAAAGATGGTCCAACAAAATATTAGTGTGTGACATTTTTTTTGGTGGCGACTTTTTTTGGCCAGGCAGTGTATATATACTGTATGTGTATATATATATATATATATATATATATATATGAACAGCGTCTTTCATATCGGTGAGCTATTTTGAGGGAATGGCTGATATTTAACTTTATTGCTAATATCATCCGATACCGATACCATGCCGATAATATTGTGCATCCCTACTACAAACACACAAGATGAAGTAACTGTACTGCGTTGACTGTGACATGTTCTTAGGTTGTCTAACATGCTGCGTTTGCCTTTAGTAAAGGCTAAGTTGTTTAAAAATGCCAAAGATTCCCTGTTGGAACAAGAGGAGACAAGAAACACATAATTATTTTCCTAAAATAAGTCCCAAGCTGCAAATCCTTATTAGTGTATAACTAATGTCACAGTGTTTTAAAGGACAGGTGAGCTGATCTGTAAAAAGGTCCAAAAACTAAATGCCAGCTTTCTTCCTAATTGCCACATTCTGCAGCCTCAACAAAAATAAGAAATCTTTGGCAGGGAACCGTTAATCAGAGAGAGCAGGGTGCTTTTCTGCTATTTTCAAATGATTACAGTCATGAGTCAACAGCAAAGTTACTGTGGTGCTAAGGTGTAAACTGACAGCTGTGTATTCAGTGCTTCCTGTCAAAGAGGACTTTATTTTGGTGGGTTGGAGGAGCAGTACCATTGAGGGAAGCCAGCCACTTTGCAGCCCTGGGCAGGCAGTAATCATGGTCAAACCCTGGTGAGGCTGTTGAAGATATGGGGAAGCTGGTTTACAAAAAAATATTAAATCAAATTTGCACCTCTTAAAATTATTAAAATATCTGCAGTAGCCTTAAAAGTCAGAAAATGCAATAACGCCACTCCCACTGAAGATTTAGAACCTAATTCAGACAAGAATTTCCTTACAAGACAACAAGATATGGAGAGCATAAAACTTTAAATTCAGATCCTAAGCCTTAAAAAGCTTTAGTTAAAACAGTTTAGTTTTGTGCAAAGAAAGAAATGTAATAATTCAGGTGGAAATCTATAGCTGAAGTTAAACTATCAGAATGTCCTTCAACAGTGTTTAAAATTACATGTCTGAATCTGGTTCTACTGTCACCTTGGTTCACGTTCAGCAGGACTCAAGACAGAGATTGGACACCATCCAGCAGCAATTTGCACCACAAAGTGTTTTCCCAGTTCAGACTCACAGTTGTGCCAATAAACTGCTGCCACGTCCTTTCTGACTTGGCATTTTCACACTAATTGGCCAGAATTAGAAATTGTATCCAATTAGAAAGAAGGCAAACATGATTTGTGTATGATTTTGAAAACAACTCCTCTGCTCACTTTCTGTGAAAGTACCCACACCACACTGAAAACAAAAGTAATGATGCAACACAGCAGACAATCTAGTGGATTGTAATTAAAAAAACAGTCAAGAAGACTGACTTCGTCCAGCTGTGAAGACAATAATCACCCCATTAGAAGTACATGCAGAATATGGCAAAGCAGGTGGTAAAAGCAAGCAGGCAAAAGAGGTAGCAGGCAGGTAGGTAGGTGGGTGGGTAGGTAGGTAGGTAGGAAGGAATCTGGAAAGGGTGACAAAACTGGCAACATGGACAATATGGCTGCGTTATTTGCACATTTAAATCTAAACACCCCATGTGGATGAGGTGGGGGGACAGATATCAGACTTCAAGTTTTAACTACAGAAAACAAGATAAACTTAGATATCCAACTATTTCTTGTTAAAAAAATAAACAAAACATCTTCCTTATCGTCTCGTCTCGCATATTTATCTTCAAAGCAAACAAACAAAAAAAAAACATTGCGGCACTTTTCGTGCAAAAGTTAAACTGATGGAGGATGTGAATAAATAAAGTCCAATAATAGTTTCGAATTAAACATCTATTTGGTTTGAATACATGAATTCATTTGTAAATACATTTTTAAGTCTGTTCATTTTTTAATCAGGCCACCTTAAGAAGGGTTATTAATTTCTTGGAATAAAAAAAGGCAATATTTCTAACTACAACTTGATACATGGATAGTATAGACAAACACCTGTAGTATCAAACATCTGTATTTAAGGCATGACACCAAACATTGTTCAATAAAAACTGTTTTGTTTGGGCCTTTGCTTTGATGTTGAGTGAAATAACAGCAGCACAGATGTGTGCAGATGTGACACAACAGGCTGAAGAAGGTTAAATGAAACAAGTATTAACTTACAAACTAAAGCAGGATGATTAAATAAAGCAGCCACAAGAGACCGACGTTACACACACACACACGTATGCACACACGCTTTCAGCAGAGCTCAACCTGGAAATCTGTTGGGTTTTTTAATTCATGCAAAGCAAATAAGTCAAATAATCAGCAGCCATATTGCCCATTTCACCACATCCCAATCACCCAGTGCATGGGGACCATAGTAACTGAAAACGAAGCCTTTGAGCATGGTGATTAGTGTCCTGAGCACACCCCGGTGGGCTTCCTGTCCCAGTGCAGAAAACGGCAAAGAGCCCAACCCCAGAGACAGTGTCTAGGACTGGGACTGTACCATCAGCCTGCTGCTCCTCATGCCGCTGCTGCTGCCACTGCTGCCTTCGGAGTGTTTTGCGTTTGGCGTAATCATGGTCAAATGGCGTTGCCACGTAAGGAGGGGAAGAGAGACCTGGTGTGGCAGCAGATGGGAGGGAGGAGCCGAGAACGTTCCCTGAGGAACAGTTAAAGTCGTCTTCCATCATTGAGGGCTTCTCCCTGGAATTAAATCAAAAACAGAACGAACGTGTCACTATCAAATCAACCTTTTCGTTTTTAACACCTCACGCTGGGTTTTATTTGTGACGCTTACTTTTCATTTGACCTTGGCATGCTTGGTACACTCTTCTCCTCCCCCCTCGCAAACGGTCCGGTCGCTGCCTCCACCAGCAAGTTAAACAAGAGCTCGTGGTCCAGATCAGGCTTATTAGATTCCAGCAATTTAAGGATGGTGGCACTCAAACGGAAATGCAACTAGACAAAGTTAGAAAACAAAAATGAACGCTTTTTCTGAACTGATGAAACAGCCGGAGCGACCAGACGCAGACGGCTCACCTCCAGCGCCTCCATAGCCAGGTCGGGAGGGTTATGGTAGTGAATTTTACGGGGGTACCTGGCTGCTTCTTCATGCAGATACTGTGCTGCCTATAAACAAACACACAAATAAAGAATAAAAACAAGCAAACAAAAACAAAGCAAAACTAATAATATAATATAAATGAACTCTTTACTGAAATTGCATGTTAAAAGTAGTAGCACTTTATTTAGAAAGCACTTAAAAACAGCAGCAAGGCCAACCAAAGTGCTGTACAACAAAATAAATAGTAAAGGACACGGGATAAAATTAGCGATGCACGATATTGGATTTTTGGCCGATATCCAATATGCTGATATGTTAAAACTTATTTGGCCGATAACCGATACTTTTCCCTACACCTACTTACAGAGACTACATACATTTCTCTGCTGTAGAATTAAAATCCTACATTATTCTGCATGGTCTTTGTCAGTTTGGCCTGCTACTAAATGCAGATGGCAAAAAGGGGGCTGAAAATGATGCCACACTTCAACTTGGATTATGTTTAACATCAACTTTATTCATGACATTTACTCTCTCTAACACAATGACAACACTCGAACAGTGCGAGTTTGTAAATTTTCACAAATCTAAGCTCAAAGTGACGTCATAACGTTGTGCTGGTGCTGCAGGCATCCTTGTCACTGGGTTGTCAAAAACAGTGCCTTTATATATAAAAACAGCACCTTTTATATCGGTGAGTTATTTTGATGATATTTAACTTTATTGCTAATATCGTCCGATACCGATACCATGCCGATAATATCGTGCACCCCTAGATAAAATGCATAAAATCCACAGAGGTAAAAATCATAAACTAAAAAGATAAATGACTAAAAACACAGTGAAGTTAAAATCAACTCACACTGGAATGAAAGCCAGGGAATAAAAGTGTTTTTAAACGAGACTTAAAGACAGTGAGAGCGGGAGCCTGCCTGACGTGCAGTGGGAACTCTTTTGGACCTGCAGCACAGAAGGTCCCGTCTGTATGAAGAGTTTCACTTTACATGTCACACTTTTCTAGACTCAAATGTGCCTATTCTAATGTGCATGTGCTTCTCATTTAAAGCAACTCAAAAGCAGCGATAATAAAATAGGCCAATTTATATTTATAAATATTATATTTTATCTCCTTAAAACTGAGTCATTTCAAAACTACTCTACATATTTGAGGAACATGGTTTTCAAATGTCAAAATTTCCCCCTCAAATTAAAGAGAAACGAAGAGTGTGATATTTCACTAAATACAAAAAAAAAAAAAAAAAAGAAACACATTTCTTATTTGTTCTGTTTTCCAGGACAGTGTGGGAGCTCGGCAGCAAATGAACCGCTGGATCATGTTCCTTAACTGATCTATTCTTAGCAGCAGTTATGATTTATTTTATATTGTTCAGTTTAAAGGATAAAAAGAAGAAACTTGTGGTTTTTTTTATCTGTTTTATGCAACAACTCTAAAAAGCGGGAGGATAAAAGCCCTAAGAGATGCTGCTGATTGTACGGGTCATGTTCCTGCAGAATGAAACGGTTCTCATATCTCAGCAAGTGATGAGACATTAAAAAACCCTGAGCAGCTACAGCTTGAATCAAAAAGAATGATAAGGAATGGTTTTTAACCTCTGTGTAAAGCTGCAGATAATCCACAGGGGGCTTGCTGCGTTTCTCTGCTATCTTAGCCAGCATGTAGTGGATGAGCCACTCCTCTTCATCACTGTCGCCCTCACAGCGAGAGGCACCCTGGAAACACCGAAAGGCTGTCTCCAGCATGGAGTCTCTCCTTTCCTCCATCTGAAACAACACAAACACACACAAAAACTTCGGTTAATTCATCTCAAGTCGACAAATTTAACAACGCTCTAATCTGAAGTGAGACTTGTCTCAACAGAAGCCGTCGTGTGAAACAAACGAGCCGCGCGTGTCTCACCTGTTTAACCACCTCTGGGGGGAGCTCACTGCGCCACTGTTTGAGCTGTCGGGAGGCGAACGAGTGCAGCGCGTACGAGATGGTCCCATACTCGATCCACAGGGACAGGTTGGAGCCGTCTATTTCCAAGGCTCTCTTGAAGCAGTTCAGCACGGCTTGGGAGTGCTTCCATATGGGCACGTCGCTTTTCAGCTCGTTGGAGTTGAGCTTTTCTTGGATGCGGCTGGCTCTGGCTAAAGCCATACCTGCCCAGGAGTCAAATCTAAGATGGGATCATTACAAAAAAAAAAAAAAAACTTTAGTGCACTCAGAATATTTTTATGAAAGCTGAAGTTAAAACTATCAGTATTTTGCAGATGCCGACAGGAGTGTGGAGAAATGATCTACCTGTCGGGACACTCGCAGATGTCATGCATGTAGAACTTGATGGCTTTGGACTGCTCTTTGTTCTTGAAATGATAATCAGCCAGCAGGTAGTACAGTTCATCGATGATTGGAGGTGGGGGGGCACTGTCCGCAGGAAGGCTGGGGGCCTGAAAAAGATCATAGTTGAAGGTGAGTTGACAACCGACATGGATTTACTTTAATAATGGTGTTAAAGAAAAGACGATGTTTAAAAAATTCCCAACGAATGTTCATCGTCTGCTGCCTTGTTCGACAAAGTTGAAACCAGGAGCTGATGAGATTTGTCAGAGTGTGTGTAACTTTATCCAACGAACAGTTTCTGAGAGTTTCATTAAAATCAATCTTCTGATTCATCAGATATTTTAACAATCAGGATCGACTCCAACAGTTTAAAACAAGTATCTTCCACGCACAGGCCACGTGTTACGGAGGTCATCAGCTACTGCATCAAACTTTACTTCAACAAATGTAAAACTGACTGAGTAATAGCTATTACTTTTTTTTACCAAGACTGATTAGTTGTGGCAGTCACCTTAAACTGGACTCACTCCAAAAATTAATCAGCTGCAGATCAACATCCAAAGATTATGTTCTGTGAGTTTCATTAAAATTCATTCTCTGGTTCAAGGGATATTTTGCTAACAGACAAACAAGCACACACAGACATGCAGCTTTTCGTGGAAGTGAGCGATTCTCTTTAGTGATCTTCATTCAGCTCTTTCCCTCTAACCTTTTCTGTCGTGCCCTCGACATAGGCTGCCACTTCATCCATAGTGAGGATGGGGGTGTCCCTTGAAGGGGCTATGGTAGCAAACCTCCTCAGCAGATTGGCCAGTTCTGCAGAAACTGTGCTCGTCTTATAGCTGTCAAACTCAGGCAGTGACTTGGGCTTAAAGTATCGAAACATGAAGAGGGCATCGCTCCACAGCAGCTCCACCTGTAAAACACAGAGCAGGTCCACAGAAAAATAAATAAATGACATCAAAGTGATTAGATTAGTTTGTCAGCAATAAAAGTTTTGGAGTTCTTCTGTAATGTGGAATGACAAAACTGCAACCAGAATCCAGGGGATCTAAAAGCAACGACTCCCCCTGGTGGTTTGACTGAAGCATTACAAAAACAAAGCATGACGCTACCTGCTGCTATGAATCACTCTAGTTCTTGTGAGTTTTTTAAAAATTCACATAAAAAAGGTAAATATACTCCATGAACATTTAAATGATAATCTGCACAATAATAAATGACAGCTGAGTCCTCAGCCAGTTGTTTGTGGCTTAAATAAATATGTTTTTGTTTCCTCACTGGATGCAACGATGGGATTTTTCCTCCGATGTCATTTCACGACTTCCAATTTATTTTGTTGACACCCACCAAGCACACCTCAACAAAAACAACTATAATGGGCATGGTGGAGTGTTTCTGCGTTGCGAGGGTCAGTGTGGGCTCATGTTTGCGTCATCAGCAGTCTGCTCCTGTTCACGCACCCCTCTTATATAAGTTTGGCAATACCGCCGAGAAATACCAATGAGTCAAAGCTTTGAACCACCTCTTCATCACAATTTGGCAATTATCCGAACAACAGTGCTGCTACATTAGTTGTTTTGTTTCACAATTTAATGAGGTAAATGGGACATACAGTAAACTGTGAAAAAAATGAACTTTTCCATTGATTAAAAGATTAACTTCTCATTAGAAGGCTCCCTTTCATCACATGCATTAAATCATATTATAAAAGGTATGACCTGTGGAGAGGAGTGGTCCTCTAGGTATCGGGCCTTGCTCTTCTTGCTGGGGTAGGCGTACAAACAGAAAAAGCATTGCTCCAAAGCCATTTCCAACTCTTCTTTATACGGAGGAGAGACACTGTTGGTTATAGCAGCAAACTCTTTTTCCAAAACGCCAATCTGCACAAAACAAAATGCACAAAAGAGAAAAAAGTTACTTCAATGCTTGGGTTTTATTTCTATATTTGGCAACAACAACAACAAAAAAAAAAGTTAGCAAAAAGCTTACAAAGAACTTGAGGAGGGCGCCGTCCGAGCTGCAGCATATAGAACGACGTCCCAGATACTCGTGGGCTGTGTTCAGAATCATCAAAGAGGAGGGAAGCATGGACGTGTCCGACTCATCTGAAAAAAATCACACCTCAGTGTCACTAAAAGGAAACACCTGGCAAAGCATTAAAACTTTAGGTCAGCATACCTTCATCATCATCTAAAGACATGCGCTGTCGAACCATACAGCCAAAAGCAGCTTCCTCGTGTTTGATGATGCGATACATGACAATCCAAGGAAGAACTGAGAAGAAATAAGGCTCCTTCAGATCGTCTGAAGCACTCATGCTGAGGTCTATCAGCTGAAAAAAGAAAAATAAAATTACAATTATTTATCGTGCTTCAGTTTCACTGCATTTCATTGCAGCCCGTGTCTCCGTCCTCTCCCTTCACACCTGAATCAGGTTGTTTGCCAGTCGAGCCACGCTTGAGAAGTGAGGGACGTTGCTTAGAAGCTGAGACTCCTTGGTGAAGCAGAACTCGATGCCATCCAGGAGCTTTCCGATGGTGTTGACCCACTCCTCTTTGCTCGGGGAAGAGCCGTTTGGAGCGGAGTTCAGTTGCTGCAAGGCTTCGTTCAACGCCAGCTCGCTGCACTCGAAACACTGCTGGTAGTCCTGCAGCTTCAACAAGGAGCGCTAGGACAGAGAGGACAGATAAGATGTATTATTTTCTACAGCCAAAACACGAGGCAGATGTTTACAAGATTCCCCAATTGTTCAAAAACAACATTTTACTTTTCTTATACCAACAAAGGGAGCACAGTTTCTGTGTTGTCAAGTCTACTTGGTCATTTTGAAATCTGCCCACTTGTTTCTGAGGTGGAAAACATTGTTTTTTTATTTCAAACCTGCAGCAGCATGAGCTGCGCCGGACGCTCCGGTGCTGAGCTCACAAACTCCAGGGATTTGTTCCGGTTTCTGTAATTAACAGTGGGGTGCAGAAGACGCACAACAGACTCAAAGTCTGCAGACTCAAAGAGACGCTGGATCTCCTCTAAAGACTGACAGCGTTCCAGCGACTTCAGTCTCTTGTCAATCTGCCCACAGAGAAAGGAAACAATGAAAGCCAGAAACATATCCTTTGAAAAGTTATGTTACTGTATTTTAAAGAATTGACAACAAACAGCAAATTAGTGGTGAAAGAAAATAAAAAGTATTTCCTGACCTCCTCCACAGAAATGGCTGCATCCACACGCAGGTTAGGCAGGTTGATTGTGTAATGTTTCCCCTCAGGGGTTTTAGGTTTGCTCTGCAACAGGCCTATACATACATCGTAACTCTCAAGGGCCAACTCCATGTCTCCCTGTCAGAAGAGAAGAAGTACGAGCTTCAACGTTGCATCAGGCTGAGCTGTATGAAAAAAAACTCAGACAGCAAACCAGAAAATGTCAACTTTACCTGCAGCACCAAGAATCGTGCCTTTAGCCAGTAGACGCGTACCATGACGTCCAGCCAGTCATCCTCAAACAGATCTCTTTGAGAAGAACCGAGGGCCAAGATTAACAGATCACTCTGAAAGTGCTGCCCAGGAAACTCAGAGTCAGCTGCGTCGCTGCTTGGACCCCCTAAACTTCTCCTCAGAGTAACTAGACAAGAAATAAACAGGTTACTAAAAACTACTTTACAGTAAAAATAACATAATCACATGTCACCGATTTCATACTGAGCCGGATGAGGCAAATGTTTACAAGATTGATGTGTTTCACAATTTAATGCTAGGTAAATGGGACATAAACTGTGAAAACATCAACTTTTCCATTGATTAAAAGGTTAACTTCTCATTAATAAGCTCCCTTCCATCACATGCAACAAATTATATTCATCCTAATTATGATGTTCAAATTAGATTTGTCCTTAAGTGCCTTTTAGAATAGGCACAATTTTTGTTAAGAAAAAGAAGCAAATATTATATTTCTAACACTTAGATTTAGTTAAAATTATGCTTGTTTTGTTCAGAAGATGTCAAGAAACACAAAATAAAATACTTAGATACTGTGGTGCGGAACACACCATTCAACCAAGTTTTATTACTAAATATTTATCCAACATGATGTCAGTGAGGACACTAAACTTACCAATCTTCCCTTTGTTGTGTAACCATTGCTCCAACTGCAGCTCCATGCAGGCCAAGCTCATTGACAACATTTCCTGCAGACCCAGTAAAAAAACAAAACAATAATGCGTTATGTGTTGTCATCAAGCACTCTGACAAGCACCGTTTTATCCCCGGTTAAGAAAGGAAACTGAAAAAACAAAACAAGTTCTATTACATTTTCCAAAGTAAAGTTAACAACGAATTACCGTAATACAAAAATTTAAATAAAAACAACAACAACCTTTAGAGACTAGACACATGCACTTTGTAAATGTTGTGTTTTCCCTTTGTTCAGAGTTGATATAAAACACAATTTAAAACAATTATTTTAAATTATTTAGCAGCTGCTGCACCTGTGTGCAGCCCACGCTGCAGGATAAACTTCCTCCTGAAAGATCTCTGCTCTGCAGCAGAGAAGTGGGCGTGGCCGAGCGCTGGCAGATGGCAGAGAGATGACTTCATGACATTCTGTGCTCTTTTAGAGCGTTTAGAGTTTAGAAGCATTGTTTAGAATATTGCAAGGGTGTGGGAAGGGTTTAAAATACTTAAGAATTATATAAATACAAAAATATACTACTTACTACTTGTATTACTATTCCTACTTGGCAGTTTTTCACTTATCGCGGGGCTTCAGGGTACAGATCCCCCATGATAAACGATGGACTACTGTATTTGTAAAAGGTTGTGCATGATTTTGTAAAGTTTCTCAGTCATGACATGTTAGTTTGGAGTTGAACGTCATAATTCAGAACCTGTTGGTCTTACAGGAAAACATCCTTAAACCTCAAACGTCTCAGTCTGAATGAAGTCAAATAATTCATAAATCATTTTTATATGAATGTTTCTGTTCGGTGCCCTGAGATAACTTCTGCTGTGAATTGGCGCTCTATAAATAAACTGAATTGAATGAAACTGAATAAAACTAAAGTCTTTTCCTGTCATTTACCCGGATGTGTTGGTTACTGCAGTCCCTGAGAAGAGGGTTGGGCAGACCCCCGCTGTGCTTCCTCCAGGTTTGATACACCTCCAACACCACAGCAGTCAACCCTCGAGGCCACGCTTTCATAAACTTCTGACCAACTGCTTTCAGATAGCGCAGCATCAGATCCAGTATACCGCCATTGGTCATGTTACAGAGTAAGAAGTCGTGGACATCCTGTTGCTCTAAAGAAGAAGCGAAGTTTATCACTCCACATATGCCAGCGCAGATTAACACTGGCTGTAAATACACAGAGAACAGATTACAGACCAGAGTCCATGTATTCAACTGAGTCAAGTGGTAAACAACTCCCATGTGGAGGCTGAAGATCTTCCTTCCCCTCACACTGTGTCTCAAAATTGCCCAGGCTCTCATCATCATTATCCGGATCAAACTTCTTTAACCTAAAACAAACAAGTAAATAGTACAAAATAAAATAAAAAGGGACAAGTTTCAGATTTCAGCTGTGTGTTAGACTTAATTCAAGGCACCTAGGAGGTAGGTATTTAAAAAGCAGTTCCTGGAAATCTATCTTCTCCTCCTTCTTGGATTTCGTGTTTCGGACGCGTGCCGAGCGACGCTTGGCCGTCTCCCCACTTTCCTCCACCACGCGTTTCCTTTTTGGAGCTTTCTTTGCTTTATCCGTCAAAGAAATCTCCATTCCTGTCACTGTCAACGTAATATCAACAACATCAATAATCTCAGATCAACAAGAAAACAGCAACATTTTCAGTTTGACAATGGAATTATTTAGGCAAGAAAAAGATCATTTTCACTTCACGAACAACTGACCAGTTGGGGGAGCAGAAGTGGTGACCTCCACCGTCGTCTGGCTCGCCATGATTTGAGGTTGAGAAGCCGACAGAGGTGGCGCTGCTAACTCAGAGAAGGTTACAGGCGGCAGGGATGAACTGGGGCTGCTCAGCATAGGAGCCTGACCCATACTGACTGGGCTACTCGGTTGGGGGAGGTTCTGGAGGAAGTTGGGGTCACGGTACTCGGACAAGTCGATTCTGCGGCCCAGACTTGGTCGTGGTGGTTCGCACGTGGTCTGGTGTTTGTACATGGCAAGAAGGCTTTCGCCAACATGCCTCCATCTAAGAATAAGCAGAGTCTGATTTATAGATTAAATATTGTGGAGGGAAAAGGCAGACACTTTATTCTATGTAAAGAACAGATCAACAAAAATAAAAACATTTCAGTTCTGCTTTACTTTGCTTTATAATAAACTTATAAAGTCGAATGTTGGTAGTATAAAATGTAACAATCTAAATAACCAAAACTGAACAAGATCTCACGAGGGGCAGCGAATGGGTTCAGTCAGAACCAGGTCGGGTTTGGGTTCACAATGAGAAAGAGCCTGCCTGCGCCTCCTCATCTCCAGAGCCTCCTCCACAAAGGATCTGCGCTCCTCTTCCTCCACTTCCACATAGTGAATCGACATATCGCTGCAAATCATTCACATCCAACACAAGAGGGTTTTCAGTGGCCTGAAGGTCTAAAGTTACAGCTACATTAAAAACCCGTGGAACACCAAAACGTGAGCTGCCTTCACCATTTTGAGAACATCTGCATCGTGTCTTTCTTTAAACAAGGCTGCTCTTTAAAGATTTTTTCCTTCAACACCAGGCCTTTAGTGTAAAGGTGGTCCTTTTCGAGGGCTTTGGCAATAAAGTACAAACAGCCTGAGAAAAGTAGATGAGAGTGGTTTTCAGCACTCGAGTCATTACGGAGCATGGCATTGAGTTTACGATGATACATTACGCACAAGTGTAGTCGCTCAGTGTGTACAGAATAGTTATGAGGTTGTCCAGGCATGGCCAGTGGTCCGGGTTACAGTTGAGTCCCTCCTCAAACGCATGACGAGCAAGAGGGATGCGCACCAGCCGCACAGCCACCTGACCAATTTTGTACCACAAGTTCACGTCAGTGGAATCCAACATGACGGCCTGAGAAGAGCAAACACAAAAATATGGCATGAACACGGAGTAGTTGTAATCACAGCCATTAAAATAATGTACAAAGCAGCAACATTGTTCTTTGACCTCCAAATAAAACTCCATTGCAGTCTCCAAGTCGTCCTGCGACGCAGACATGCTGGCCAAGTTTTTGAAAGTTGAATATTTCAGCATGAGGCCGGGATGCTTGAGACCCTCTCTCTGATCCTCTGAAGGCAAGGCCTAAAACACAATTTAACATCAACACCACTGCAGCCCCAAACTACGCAAGATCACGTGTATAAGTTTGTGGGAAAGGCCCATGAAACGAAAATCTTATATTATAGGCACCAACTTTAAATGTAGGAGGCAAAACTCACTGGCACTGTTTAACCAAGTGTGGGTTTGTTGATTTAAATAAACAAGTTAACGCAGTGTCTTTCCAATGAGGATCATCACTGAAATACTGATTAAATGATCATTTGCCTGAATGATTATTTGAATATTATTTCATGTGTGTGCAATGTTAATTTATAGATTTATTCCATGATGCTGAATAACAGCGGTATTTAAAATACTCTAGATATAGTGTCAACTTTCATTGCATCACATGCCTACGAATAATAATAAAAATACTAATATTAACTAATAATGTAGCAAAACTCACAATGAAAAAACACCTTAAAGTCTTGATGGGGACTATATATATATATATATATATATATATATATAAATATATATATATATAAACTATTTTATAGTTTATTTTTTTAATCTGTGTGTTTAGAGGAACTTGGGTCTCAGCCACTGACTATGAAACATATGATTTAAAAGCAGAACATTAGTACACAGTCCACAACATTTTACATTTTTCTGTCCACATTGAGTCATGATGATATAAAGTATCTGTGAAAGCATGACCGTCATTTCACAACATTAATGGATCCATAATCTCAAACGATTTAACAGTACCTCTTTGAGCAGTGGAGTTTTGAGAAGCTCATGATAGGCTTTGGCAGAATCTTCAAACTTGTCGTGCTTTTGAAGATCCAAAGCTTTGTGATATAAAGCAAACGCCTCGGCTTCCTACAAAGAGAGACAAGAATGAAAGACCATGCCAGGTAGAGGCCATGGCATTATCATTTGCATATAGTCTGTACTTGGGCCTCTTTAGTCTGGCTCTTGTTACTTCTCAACGGGTCATGGGACTCGTCTGCAGCAGCCGAAGCAGCATTAAGAGCCGCAATTCGAATCTGGAAAGATTAACAGAGGAAAAAGTGTGCAATAATTAAAAACACTTGTAATATTAGATCATGGGTGCTGGTGAAAACAAAAACCTTACCATTTTAATATTTGGAAAGCAGATATTTCCCTGAAGATATCAGCTTGTGCCTGGTTCTGCAGAGAAAACAACACATGTCAAGACCAGTGAAGTCAGAAATCAGAAAGACCTGTCACTTATTTCCACTGCTCAATAATTTATCAATGCAAGTCAGGTGTTTCAGGAATAGTTATTTATTCTGATTGCTTGAATATTTTTGTGACGTAAAGGCTAAAAACCTTTAAACTCAAAGAGGAGAGAAACTTCTCATTGAGGAGTGTTTCAATGAACTTTTATCGTGATGTAAAAACTAGCCTGTTAGCCAAACGTTCAGCACGAGACATATTTGAGTTTGAGCAGTTCTGCAGTGACCTCCAGAACCAGAACCAGAACCCTGGACCCACCATACTAATTCACCCATACCAGCCAGGTGGTAAATGTAAACTGCTGAAAGTTATTTTAACCCACAGAGTTGTTAGCAATGTTCAAGATGATGTTAGCTAGCCTGTGTGTGTGTTTAAGCATCACTCATAGCTTCGTGTCTTACCGTTCATTTCCGGTAAAAACGTCCCTTCTCACGTGCAACTTCTACTTAGGCAATGCGTTAAACTCTGAAATAAGTGAGGTTATAAATCCCAGAATGATTCAGAAACCACACTTGTTCACCATCCTTTGTTGTTGTAGGTCTTGGAGGCGACGCACTAGACGCATCTACAGCTACAGAGCGTCGCCGTACCGTCTACGGTTGCCAGATAGGAAATCACGAATTATTTGAATGTCGCTTAAAACACCTGTCACATGTGAGGAGAGCGGGTGGATTTTTATTCAGTAGGGCGAGGGGATGTGTTGACGGGCACGCGGACATTTTGATAATATGCGGGTGTTTGTGTATAAAAGCAGTTTGCGTTCGTCGTGTAATTGTTGTTTTAAAACTTTCTGTCTAATCTAAAACTATCGTATAAATACAATAATTAGAGTACATTTGGCAACAGTGCATGAAGCCGAAGTGTCGCGAGACTGTCAGCGCGCCCAAAATCCCGCTTTTCCTTCAAACTTTATTTATAACAGACGATACACATTTACACATGACAGATACGAACAGTACAATGTTAGCCAAGTTAAACATATTTAAATATTAAATAAAATAACAAAATAATAACAGCGAAAAGAACGCTGAAAATAAGTCAAATAAAATAAAAATCATCAATTTCAAAATGCGAACATGACAATGTGATTTATTTATTATTTTTTTTGTAACCAAGCGCATATATTGCTTAAACTTACTATATTATTATTAACCTTTTTGTCTGGATGATTAGCAAAGCAATGAAGATTTTTATTTATTTGTTTATTTTTCTTCATTTTTTTTCAATTTGCAGGATGCAAACAGCACTTGTTTGCAGATGAAAGTTATGGGATTTATTCAAATCAACACATTTACAAAACTGTTGCAAAATACTTTTGAATGAGGACACAGCCAAAACAGATTCAGGGGAGAGATAGGTCACAAAAAATACAATTTACTGTACATGGATATGTCAAATTTAAACTTCTTAATAGTCATCTGCAGGTTCCCATGAACTCTTCTTTTACCTTTTAGTGAGAAGAAAACAATGATATTTTCCAGGTCACATCATCCACATAACTATTCCAGTATGAAATGAAGGAGGCAACCTCTTCTGAAAGAGGACTCTAACAGTTTTAATTGTAGCAAAACAAAAAGTTAAGCCATATTTAGCCTGGAGTGTATATGAAAAAGGATGGGAGCCTGATGACCATGTCTGATTTCTGTCTGAAGAACATGAAGATTTCTGAAGAAATGGCACAAGAAATCAGTTCTTCTCATTCTGAACATTTCATCGCATTGATGAACTTGTGTTAACCTGAATAAGACAAGTAAACAACATAGCAAATACTTGCACATTTTGCAGGAAAAATAGAACATTCAATTTTGACAAAATTATTTGTACCAAAGTAGAATACCACTGTGGTTAAGCAGCTGATCCATCATATAACTATGTCTAAAGCAAGTAAAAAAAAATAAGCTCAAACAAAATATTCTTATTATTCTATGTGAAATGAGGGTGAGGGGAGAAGCTGAGCTTGTATGAGTGACCATGATAAGAAAGACTGATGATGAAAAGCAGATAGTTTGATATGAAGCTTCTGCACATCAAAATTACAAACAAGAAAAACAATTCATTCCACTCACTTTGAGAAAATTTGAAAGGGAATGCTGTTCAAATGGAGGCCAGGAACTGAATAATCCATTTTATTGAGTCATAGACAAAATTAATTAGTAATTTGTTAACGTTTTTCAGCACTTTAAATGTCAGGGTCAGAAGCCTGTATTATTATTATTAATATTATTGACAGATCGGAACAAGTGTTTATTTTTTTTGGTGTCAGGTCAAGATTTTAAACTCTATTGGCTGTAGCTCGCCTGCTGTCATACCCACTTTCTGAAGTTGAGTAGCTGAAAAAAAAAAAGGAATTGTCATCTTTTGTTGTTAAATAGTATTTGTATGTGGGAAAGCACAACAAATTTTCTGTCTCCACACATTTTAATTAATTCTGATGCACTCTGTGACTCAAAAGCTTTGATGTTGTAACTTAATTAACCACAAGAGGGCGCTGTTCGACGCTCAAACATTAATGTTTAGAAGCTTCACTGTTCAGTACTTCCCACTCAGATGCCACCAGTATCCTAGAGGTGACATAACTTGATGGTATTGCAGTTTTTCTTAACTTGACACTGCTGAAATTTGACATTTATTCAACATGTGGCTCAAGGTACTGCACAAAGAGGTAAGTTTTAGTGGAGATTTTATATTAGAAAAATACCTTTGACAAAATAACAAATCTTAATTGTAATAAAAATGAAAACCTGATTGTCTAAATTTATTTTTAACAATCAATTTCACCTGCTTATTATATTTGTCACTGTGTGCCCCAGCAGTTTTTATTCCCCATCTGATCAAATGCTTTTCAGAATGATTTTTCACTGTTTTGATAATTAAATTAGCTTATATGTCCTCAGGCTGCAAGTTGTGCTGCCTATTTTGAATATAAATAATTTTGGCTTCCATGCTGCTTGGGCTTTACAGTCTCATTCATCTTCTGTCGTAGCTTCAATTTTCATGCATTATTTTGACTTGCAGAGGTTTTATTCTATTTGCAAAATCATTGCTGAAAAAAAATCCATCACATGATCTATTTTCCAGCCCAATTCACATCGCTGTGTGGCACATAAAGAAAATTGAGAGGCAGGGAAGGGGCATTCTTTAAAATATTTTCAGTGCAGAAGTATTTTTTGCACACAGAAAAATATTCATTACAAAACAAAGAAAGCTCCTTATATTTTTTAGCCCCACATGGGAATGCTTTACCTCAGTGTTGGTGAATTTTAGTGATGCAATCATGTGTATATAAAGCATACTGCGATTTTATCAAAGACAGAACCGTTCATTTAATATTCAGGCATTTCTATGGGGGTTGATGCACGAACAATAAAGCACTCATTATTTTTCACTACTGCCTTTAAAACAAAATTATACAAAACATACATGAAAACAGACAGCTCAGTCACATATAGTGTGCGTTGACTTTTATGACATTTATGATGTAAACAACAACAAAAAGCCAAAATGCCCACTTAACGAAAATTTTAAGAGTGCAAACCAATAGTGAAAAGTTGACCTTTACATGACTGAGCACATATTTGATCATCTAACAGTTTTTACATTATCAAAGTTTGTTTTACAATTTTTGAAGATTTAACCACAAAAAGTTCATTTTAGAGTGCAAAGATTGTACTTACTTTTGAGCAATCTAAACTTTTACTTTTTTTCCCCAAACCTTTTATACGCTGACAAACTAGACATTCCTTTTACAGTTTTTATGTTAATATTTGAGCATTTTTGTCTTTTACTCAGTGCAACTTCCACTGCTGTAAAACTCATGGTCTTCTTTTAAACCCCCTCAGAATGCAGAGTACACACACTCAAAGCTTTGCAGAAAGTGGTGAAGGCTGCACAGAAGTCTGTTGGAGTCAGGCTCCCCACCATCACAGACATCTTCACCTCTAGATGCAGGAAGAGGGTGACCTGCATCATGAAGGACCCCACTCACCCAGCACACACACTTTTTGCCCCACTCCCCTCAGGAAGGAGGTTGAGGAGCATTAAGTGTAGAACCACTAGACTGAGGAACAGTTTCTACACTGAGGCTGTTAGACTCATGAATCTCTAACCAGAATAATCACTGTGAAAAATCACATCATGTTGCTGCTGATCTGTTTCATGTTTCTGTGTTCATGCGTGCTCTTCTGCTCACACAGACTCATGTTCGTGCTGCTGTTCGGCGTAATGTTTTTATGCTTCTAGTGCTTATTGTATATTTAGTTGATGTTTTTCTTTGTTCATATGTTAGATCTTATTACTGTTTTTCTTTTACATTTTATCGTTGGATGTAACTGGGACCCTGTGTACATAATTTCGTTCCACCACATATACCACATGGGGTGCGAATGGCAAATAAAGAACCTTGAATCCAAACTCACATTGACTTCCATTTGAATTTGAATTCAGAGTGGTTCAAAACTGGAAATGAAAGGTTGTCATGGCTCCAACATAAAAACTGACCGGTGTGATGACCACAGGCTTTGGCTGCTGACAGTAACATTTGTAGAAATACCAGAGATAAGGACTAAAGAGAACAGACTCCAAGACTTGATAACTTTAACAGTGTTTATTTACAAAGTGAATAATGTCATCTAAGGTGCACATGGAGGAACTGGAACCCTGAGGAGTAGGAGACAGATTAATCTGATTTCTGCAGGAGTGATAATGTTATTGCTTCTCCTCCTTACGGTAGGGAAAGGAGTCAGTCCTGGGGACAGGTGATCCAATGGTTCCAGTGCGAGGAAGGCAGACGTCCAGGTTGAGTTTCCAAGTTGGAAGCAGGCAAAGAGGCAGCTGAGGAGGCCCAGGAGAGCTCGAGGTACACAGAGGAGATCCTGGAAACAGGTGGGTGGCAGAGCATACACGGTACGCACCAAGGAACACAAGAATTTATCTAAAGCACAAGTGAAAGGCCATAAACTTAACTATCATTGGCAGGTAATGCTCCAGCGCTGACTGGATGTCCTCTGCAGCCTTTTATGCTCCTACAGCTCATCAAGGCGCTGGTCCACAGGTGTGGCTGCAGGACCCCGGCAGAGCAGAACCCCCACACTGACATAGATAAGGTGAGGGATGTCATCATGGAGACTGATGAAACAATGGTCTCTTTTGATGTCACATCACTCTTTACATGCATTCCTGTTGATGATGCAGTAGAGGTGGTCAGTTTAA